TATCAGAAAGCCCCGCTTTTAGTGAACAGAAGCAAAGAGAAGCAGGTGTTGCTGGAGAACTCTGTGAGTGATGCCAGATTTTCTAGAAATTGTGCCTTTTGTAGTGATAGCTGGTTTTCTTTGAGGAGAGAAACTGAAATGCGAATAAAGGATGGAAACTTAAATAAGATTTTTTTTTTCAGGACCCACATGTAACCTTGCAGAAGGCACCCAGGAGAGTCAGCGAGGAGTGTGGAACACATAGCCAGGATGAGACAAGGTAGGAGTACAACCATGAGATAAGAAACAGGTATGTTGTGTTTCTTTTTGAAGAATCAGCTCCCTCTATGAGCCTAAAATTCCTACTGCATTCTTTATGTCTTTTTCCCATTTTCTGCCTAGAATTGTTGGGTTACCTTGATTTTAACTTTCACTTGAGAAGAAATATTGGCAGGGTCAGCCTAACAGACTAATTTATTGAGACATTACCCTGGGGCAATACCCTAGGTTGTCAAATTCGAGTATGTGGTCACAAACACCTGAGAGTTTGTTTAAACAGACTTCTGGGTGCTTCCCCCAGTGGGTCTGAGCTGGGGCTTGAGAATGTGCATGCCTAACAAATTCCCAGGTTATGCTCCTGTTGCAAGGTGTACGAGGTCACTCAAAGTCCCTAGTTGCTAATCAGCTTCAGCTGGTTAGGAGCCATTGTAATGAAATGCCATCCTTGACTTTGTCATCCCTTAGGCAAGTGCTGCTACAAGTGACAAATTTTCATTTTACAAAAAAAAGAATACCTGGAGGGGGCATCCAGAGTCAGATGTCAGAAGCAGTGCTGGACAGGGATTGACAGAGGGTTGAGAAGGGTCATTTGGCCCCAGGATTATTGTGATGTAAAAAGTACCCTGAATTTGGAGATAGCAGGAACCTTGGAGGATTGTTTGAGTAGACTGGGTTGTCTTCAGTGAAAGGACCATGTGGGTCTAGAAGAATAAATAAAGATATCTATGGGTCTGTCTATGCAGCTTGTAAAAGGTGTGACCATAAGATACAAGTGTAATCCCTCCAAAATGACAGTTGTCTCCCACATGAGTGGTGAGCTTCAGTGTAGTTACCGAGAAACACTGTTTAGTATCACGTTGAAAATAAACTTGAGACACCTAAGAAACTAGAACCTACTACTCTGTTCCATGTACATGTGTGTGCACACAGTGTGTTATTCGGGGAATTGTCCCAAATCAATTCTTCGTAACTATATATACCTTTTCCCACCTTTGTCTATATGACTATGCAGGTCTTACTCTCTGTGATTTTGGCTGTTTTCGGATTGCACATTTAGCTTTAGAGGATCATTTTAGAGATTCGGAGAATCTTCGACAGTCTCTAGGGAAAACGGGAAAGAGCAACGAGCCTCTTGTGTGTAACAGTGGTGGCAGTGTCGGCGGTGCTTTGGAGAAGCAGCACTTACTTGAGTCTATGAATTCTGGTGTGTTTGATAAAGAAAAAAATTCCGTAAAGAAGTAATTCTGAGCATCTATATTTACACCGTTGTAAAACATTTGTAAGTGTTGAGGTATGAGAAAAAATTAGACCCAAAGCATTCTGGTACCCAGTATGGGTGCACTGCGTAATCAAGGTCAGTGGAACTTCCTACAGGCTGTTCTGCTGGGTTAGCCAATGTACTGAGGCCAGTTTACCTCAGATACTTCCTGATTCATCCAAATTAATTTCTAGACCAATTAAACAGCTTAAGATACCAAATACTTTTCTTTCAATGGAAAAGTCAAAGAGAAAATCTATCTCTAAAAGTAGGAAAAATGAAAGGCTAAGTAACCATTTTTTCTTCTAGGCATGATAAAGTTAGAATCTTCTGACAGATTCTGTGCTCAAAGTGGTCTTTCTGCCCTGATGGTTCAGGTTTTGGTGAGAATATTGTCGACTGAAAAAAATGCATAGCCTGAAAGTTGCGAGTTACGTTTTATTCGTCGGGCTTTCTGAGGACCCGGGCCTGGGAGGCGGCCGCTCAGATCACTAACAGGCTGCTCCAGTGAGGTAGGGGAGGAGCCGGGATATTTAGGAATTTTTTACAACAAAGACCAGGTAGTCAGAACATCAAAAGATAACTGTTAATTGAAGAAAACCAGATAGCTCAAGGTAAGGAATTTAATGCTTTTCTGTGCAAAAGTCTGGGCTCATCGAAATCATTTATTTGGTATGCACCTAGCTCTCTAGGGCCAGCATCCTGTTCTTTCACCGTTTTGGGTGGCAGCAGAGGTCGGGCTGCCTGTTTGTCTCCATCCTGAGTTCTCTCCTCACTGTCAGTGGGAGGAGGGTGCAGTGGAGTGGCTGATGACATGAAGGCCACAGCATCCTTTGTTTACTGATATGGCAGGCAATATTTTTCATTCACAGTATCTTTAAAGTTTCTGCATGCGAATGTCCGCTCTAGGGTCCGTTTTCCTTTTTCTGTGTACCTAAAGTCTCTAGTAGAAGAACGTATGGAAATGGTAAGAATTTCTAAACAATTGAATGAAACAGAATGCTGTTGGAGGTACAGTTTTGTGGGTGTGAGAAGGATAAGGGAGAAGGGGAAGAATTTAACGATTGCCAGAGAAAAACTGAGAAAAGAAACAGTCCTGGTTAAGAAGGTCCCAGCCATCCCTATTTTTAACATGAAGTCTCCTAGAAAGACTATGTGCATATGTATGTATACATTTATTATTTTATTATGCATTTAAAAGGACAGTTTCGAGTTTACTGGTAAACATTAAAAGGTGTATGTCAAGTTGTATCAGTACTATTTGTTAAATAATTAATCATTTTCTAGTGTAAGTGAACTACTACATAGATGTTCTGTTACTTCTCATATATATGGGATGCCATTTCTGGATTCTCTATTCTGCACCACTGATCTGTTTGTCCTGTCTTACCCAAATACAATCATGAATCAATTATTCATAGTATTTTATAATAACTGGTAAATCATCATGGTCTTTTTCTTGACTGTTCCATGGTAATGGTAATCATCTTTAATATAAATGCTTAATTCAGTTTCTCCAATTAAAAACAATTATTGAGTATCTGATTGGAGTTCATTAAATTTATATATTAATTCAGGAGAATGAGCGACGCCATGAAATTGAGCTTTCTCATCAAAAAAGATCGTGTTCCTTTTAGATTTTGTTTCACATCTTTTCATACAATTTTATAATTTTCTCTCATACAGACTGGTGACTCTCTATGTTAATACCACATTGAAATTACTTACAAGCTTTAAAAAAATGTTGATACATGGAGTTCACACATAGAAATTCTGATTTGTTTTGTCTGAGAACATCAGGATATTTTAAAGTTCCCCAAGGTGATTTTATGTAGAGCCAAGGTTGAGAATCATAAATACAGGTGTTATTCCATTCATGTTAAACTTATTCCTAAATGTTTTATAGTTTTCTGGGAGTCTTTTCCAATAATATATCCCTAATCACCTTTTGAATCTCTTCTATTGGGGTTGATCCATCCAAGTTTCCCACTTCTTAATTTGGCAGTGGGTACTTTGTTAGGAATTCACTCGTTTACTCATAAGTTTTCAAACAGATTCCTATAGAGTTCCATATTCTCTTTCCATAATTGATTTGGTGTTACACTTGAATCCTTATATACTTTTTGTTATAGGTTTTCTTCTTTTTCTCTAGCAATTTTATTTTTATTGGATGTGTATTAAACTTGTTCTGCCTGATCTTCCTTTCTCTTGCAGTTGGCCCTACTTTTCTTTGTCATGTAATTGGGACCCATTTCTGATTATTGGAAAAATTCATCGGTACAAAAAAGTGACTTTGTCCCTATAAGCCTGTTCTGGCCAATCCCTGCCAAACCGCCTGGAGGAAGCCTCTTGGCTCTTCATACCCCAAATATTCTGTTTACTAAAAATGCACAAAATCCTCCAGTTACACATTTGACTTCTTTATCTTTTGGAGATCAGGAAATCTAGCACCTTGTAGGAGACCCATGTTGCCATTTTCCCAGATGTGCCCTCAGATCTTTGAAAGCCAGGCTCTTCCCTGAATAGGCTGCCTTCTTGTCAGTGCTCATCCCTAGACTCTGACACTGTTTGCTTGTCCTTCCGTCCCTTGCCTACCCGTGAGGGAGAAATCCCCACATCAGTGTTCTCCGCTGAAGCCTGAACAAAGGCTCTGCTGAGCCTGATCCCTTCCTGCTGCGGTGAAGAGAAAGCTAGCTGTATGAGGATGCCACATTCCCTATGATGATAGGAAAAGACGTAACATAGATCATAATTCACAGCCTTTCACTGAATCTCTCAACTTGTCCATCTTTGGGAAACATTTAATTTCACCCTCCCCTGAACTATATTGTCCAGACTCATATCACAAAGATATTTTTCTCAAACTTATAGGTATCTCTAGTTGGCTTCTCACACACACACACTTGCCTAGTGTTGTGTAAGGAGAGAAAGAAAAAAATCAGGCATGTGAGTACCTATTAGGGGAAAACAGTGCTTAGTGGGTATGGAATGTATACATCTGAAATCTTCCATATATTAACTATAAATGCACTGCGTAAAATTTGATCCTTTAAAAATTTTCTTTTTGTGTTGATGACAAAGCAATGCTCCGTGTCAGGGAGAGTGTTTTATAGTTATTCTAAACATCAAAGGACCATTGTGAAGTTAATTGGCGGTCTTTACACAAATAGCCATTGCACTGCGTTGAACTTAACTTTGGGAGTGCTTGATGTATAATGATGGCGAAACAGTTATAAGTAAATTACTGTGGTTGCATGAACTTCTAATCTGGTGTTAGATCTGTTGATGGAACTTGAACACCACAGGTCAGCCACCAACAAAAAGCATGAAAAACGAAGGTGGGCCTGGAAGCATAATACTACTTTTCTTCTCCTAATATTTCTGCTTTAGATTATGGACAAGTGGATTTTTGCGTCTTTTCCAATTTAGGAAGTGTGAAGAGAACTCTACTAGTCTATCTCTGTCTCCACACTGATTAGTTACCTATTTTGTAAGGCTGGTGTTTGTACTCCTGAAAAACACTCTGTCGTGTTATTCATGGAAATAGTAAATAGGTCAAAAATAAAATGACTTTGCCTAGGTTTTTAAATCCAGTTTCTTTCCCAGATTTGTAGAAACTAAATCTGGTTCCTACACAACTGAAGTGTGTTTATACTTCTGGTCCCATTTTGCAAGCCACTGGGGGGAAAACTCCAACATTGTGCAACTTTTCTGCCCGAGTTGTGATGGGTAAGTCCTATCAG